AAATTTGGTCTGGAATCACACGTTAATCAATGTATTTCGAAAAATGCGTTCACACTTTGCGAATTTAAATTTTTGCGGATTTCATGCTTCATCGTCGAACCGCACCACGCACAATTAAAACCCGCAAGAAGGCCGCCAAATTTCCTACCAGCAGTTCAACGAAAACCTCCACCTGCAAATCAAGTTTCAAATCGGATTCTTGTATTTGGACCCACTCAGAATTTTCATCGATGAATCAACCACCAGGTATCATCCCTCTGCATAACTCGACATGTTATAAAATTTGACAATATTAGCTCTCTTATCCCTGTTAAGGTTTTGAAGCTTAAATTGCCAATCCCAAATTGAAATTAGTTTTCCACAGAAATTTTCGTCACCTCAAACCAAAAATTATCCGTTGCGGTAAAACAACAAAAAAAAAACATTGACAACCACCGAAATAAAACTGCCGCAAACTTTTCGCGTCACTCAGTACTTAACACTTACTTGGAACAAATTCTCTACTTTGAGCTTTGCGTCGTTTTCAGTTTCTAAATTTCTTTCCAACTGATCAATCCTGGAAAAAAATTGCAGCACAGGATTAGAGCCCGCATTATGTTGGGGCAGCGCCTAGTGCAGATATCATGAGCTTCTTACAAACGAAATCAAATGCAGCTTAGTTCAGGTTGCCCGCCAATGAAGACCGCCGAAAAAGGAGGTGGCGAAAAATGGTGGGAGAGTCGGAAGGACAACCTACAGATGATATTTGTCCCCGATTTCATTCGTCTTCCGTAATACCCAATCAATATACGCCATCTCCCGCGCTCTTTTCCCTTTCCGCGCCCCCCTCCCCCACAGAAAAAACACACGGCCTATAGTTCTGTTTTCATCTTCTATATGTAAACGCTACCCCCTCTCCCCCCCCCACCGCTTGCTTTTAGACGAATTTTACTCAACTCAACCTTCTAACAGCATGCACATTTTACCAGCAAATGGGTAATGAGAATACTCAAACTGATCCCGTAGAAGTTGTTTTCTTGATCTAGCACCAAATTCTCGCAACTATTTTACAAGAAAATGTGTAGCAGCTAGAGGGGAGAATTAACAATCAGATCTTGGGAGTTGAAAGGTCAGCAGGGGTACTACAGCACAGTCACGTGTTACTTTAATGAAAGTGATGGAACGTTTAGAGACTCAACCAAGAACTTCGAAATCAAATGACGTTGTTTGTACCTTTGATTGAGTTCATTCACTTTGTTCTGGTGGACCCGCGCAACTCTTGACGCTTCTGCTGTAGATTTTCTTTCGCATTCTAGTTTTGTTTCTTCGATTGATTCTTGTCGACGACGCTCGGCATTTTCTAGAGAAAATAAAAGTTTAAGTATTTGTAAACACTGTCATCTAGTCCTTGAACAGATACTGAGGAAATAAACTTTACGTAAACGTTTAAAATTACCCTCGCAACTGCAAGTGCTTCACCAACAGCCAGTTCTCTTTGAAGGGCTGCTTCGTTTCTGAGCTTTCTTGTGAGCGTCTCCGTAAGATTTTTCAGAGCTTCCTGTTTGTTTTTCTCCGCTTCTTCAGCTGCTTTTTGCAAAGCATCACTCTTTTCTTTTTGAAATCTTTCCAACGCCGAGCGAGCCCGCGCTTTTTTTTTCTGCGACCTCACATCTGTACCTAATTTCTGCCATTTGTTCCTCCGCTTGCTGAAAAAAAAAAAAATTTAACCCTATAATACCAGGAGTGACCGAGAGAAATTTGCTCCTTTTCATACCTCTACACTTTTTGAAGAGAAAGGTGTAAAGAAGATAAAAAAAACATAAATCAAGGAGATATTGTTTGATTTAACACCAAATTCTCAAAGCTACAATTGTGAGAATTGTATAGCAAACAGTAAAGAGAGTTGATACTTAGATCTTGGGAGTAAGAAGTTGTCCTTCTTACAGTGATACCACCAAACTCAGTGGCATCTATAAAGGGGGTAAGTTTCTAAAGAAACTGTGGTGCTGCGTCAGTGTGAGAGAATAACAGGGTAATCTACTATTATCAACTGAGTTGATGATGCAAATTGGCCTCTGTAAAGAGTCAAAAAGCTGACATTTTGAGTGTTAGTCCTTTATCAGAGCGATTGACAAAGGGATAACCCTTGCAATGTCAGCTCTTAAACTCTTTATGGTGGCCAATTTAAGTTATCAACACAGTTGATAATGCCAAATTACTTAGTGGCAACTATGTTAATGATGACCTATAGATTTTGAAAGAGATAATCTAACAGTTTTACATCACTCAGTGGTTGCAGAATAACACCAAATAACATTGGACATTTTTAGCACATTTGAAGACATCTCTAACAGTAAGGTTGCTCTTGCCTTGGGAATCTTAGAAGGCAATAAGTGGCACTGAATCTTTCTGTATACTTTTTCAAAGCAGTGATAAAAATCATCAAGTTTTTAAAGCTCGCTTTTAGTTATAACCTTTCAAAGAGATACTTAGTGTTGATCATGATATCTACATAAAAAAATATTGCCTAAATAACTGGATATGTAACTACCTTTATGTTGCCACCTATAAGCCTTGCTGTTCAACAGTTCCCCAGAGTCCCTTTACCCAACAAAGTGTTTGTCCAAAGATTATATGGCTAGAGAGAGACTCATACATGTGATAATGTCATTTACCAGTCTAGCTTCCTCCAGTGCACGATCTCTCTCTCCCTCCATCTGTTCTTTTTGCTCTTGGAGAGCTTTTTTCAATTCCATACGTGCTTTTTGCTTCAGCTGCAGCAACCTGTTGTTTATCCAGAACATTAAAATTTTTTTAATCAACACTAAAATAAATAAATATATTGAAATAGGTACTAATTTGATTAGAAAAAAATTAACCAAGAAAAACACTCCGAAAAATACTCTAATTTCCAGGACAGAGAGGTTTTTTTTTTTCATAACTTTTGATTTGCTATTTTGAATCTGTCTAGCACGATTTTTGAAAGAATCCTGTAATTTTTTCCTCAGGAAGGCTGAATAGCCAAACCTTGTTGAGCGAAAAAAAGTTTAAACAGTCAAGACACCTCTAATTGCATTTGGGAAAGCTACATTGTAATTCCTTAATCCTTTACATCGTAAGATCAGTATGCACATTCTCCATATGGTTTTCTGTACATTTCCTAGGGTGCTGACAAGGAGATTTTGCTTAACAATCAAGAGCTCCTGTACTTGTTGATCATTTCCATTACTCTCATGGTCTTAATGTGTGATTCAGGGGTGATATTGTATGGAGAAATTAAATGCTGGTCACTCTTGGAATTAAAGGGTTAATATTAGTGAGTTGTTTTAACTTCAGAAGAAAAGCATATCACTCATTTTAAGGGAACAACAATTCTCTAAGTTTCAACAGAAACAAATATATATATGAAGGGACAGGGAACATCTAAGCTGCTCTGTGCGAGTAAATGATTCTACAGAAACCCACTCTGTGCTGTGGACTGTGCTTAACATTAACTTACAGCTTCTTGAACAGCTTTTCCTTTATCTTCTCTCATAACTTGTTGTATTTCATTTAAAAGTTCTGTTCCAATGCCTACCGACAATAATATACAGGGTCATTTAGTTTATAATAACAGTATCACTTGAAGAAGAAAATGATGGATAATTCAAATCTTCAGCCTGAAGGCTTTCCCCTCAAATGAAGCCTTTCAAAAATTCTTTAATTTCTTTCTCTACTGTCACTAAAAGGAACACAGATGTTTGTTTCTATCAGCTGCGTTAATAACGCAATGTGAATTGGACGCCGTCGAGAAATTATGAAGCTGACATTTAGAGCGTTAGCATTTTGTCAGAGCTGTCATCCTGTCATTTAGCATATCGCATTCGTCGTAGTGTTAACAAATTACTCGCTCTGAAACGTCAGCTTCATTTTCTCTTTACGGAAGCCACTATTCACATTATCAACTCAGCTGATCGATAGAACCAAATTGCTGATCAAGTAATCTAGAACAAAATCACTAGGTTGGTTGGAATTTTCATACTCACGCATAATGTCAGAAAAGGAAATATCTATACTTACACACGATATTTGTGTGTGTCACCTTCTGCGTTTTTAACGTTGTCCTGCCATTAAGCATTCGTTCTAGTGTTATCAAGGGATTTCCAGACGCCATCTTTGTTTCAAGTTTGAAAACGTAACTATGCGACCGCGACTTGCTTTCCGCCCCAGTCTCACTCTCATTTTTTTCCCGCTCTCCAGGCGCGCAACCGACCCGCGCAAACTACTCCAGTTTGAAATCGCAATTTAATTAAAGACTCGAAATTTTGATAATGTGGGAGAAACGCTATACAACATTCTTTTTTGAACTATTCTTCTTTATGCATTCTTCAAATCTCGTTCGCACGAATGTGGACTGGCTGTTTAGGTACATGGACACAAAGAAGTCAGTGAAAACAAGCGAAATGGAGATCTTTTAATGAAACTCGCGCTGAGAAGGGTTTACTTTCACGCTCGAGATCAGCATACAAACGCTTTAGATTGACAATGCTGATAGCATAATAATAATTTTTTCAAATAAATCATCAGCTTATAATAGCTCTTCATTAAAGACTTCTAAATACATTCTCGCTAAACTTGATTCGAATTCTATGCTAAAGAAGCACAACCTTTGTAACCTCCTCATACACAAAAGAATATTTTCGAATTAATGCGACAAACGACTGAAAGCGGCACACTACAATAGTTAAATTCTTGCTAACTGCTGCAAGCGTAGTTGTTAAACTCTCTTCATCTAAAATTCATCGGAAATATTTACCGCGATTATCTCAATGAAATGCAAGTGTGAAGTTGAGGTTTACAATAGGCAAAGACAGGAAGCTGTGAGAAAATCGGCCAGTTTTAATTGTTCTCTGTTCAATGTAGTCACCATACACTTGCCTGGCAAGGTCTTTGTGTGAGAGGATAAAAACGGAAAAAAAACAGAACGAAACAGACTTGATTTACTGATGCTGGAACAACACTTTTGAGGCTTACTTTCATAGCTAAATGATCAATAACTCTGAAGTCCCTGTTGGATGATACTTGTCCTTATTTTTCTCGTACAGATCGGTAAGTGCTTCTAAATATTGCACGTGAAGTTGGTCTATCTCTTCCTGTGTTGGGTTGGCAATCTTGGTCACAGGAACAGGTGATCCCACTGTGTAATAGAAAATTAAAACCGGTACTGAATAGATCGTCTCCTCAAAACAAATAACTACTGAACTTATAAATGCCACTTATGTCAATTATGATGAAGGCAGAAAGAACTAACGGTCCTTCCACAGTTTTTGAAAAAACGTAGAAGTTATGACTACCAAATGATTGTCGTAATAGTTTCAAGCTAGATCAAAAGTATTGTTTCACCTCCCAACTTAAAAGCGCTTTCCAATTGGAGGGAAGAACGTATCACGTGTCATGAGTCAAAACTCACAAACTCCCTCTAAATAACTTAAACTTTCGACTCAAACATGATGGGGAAATGCACCTTGAAATCGGGGCAAGTTTGTGCGCCACTCTTCTACAATTTGTTCTATTTTTTGAGCTTTGAAGTATAAAAAAACCACACTGGCACCATGGGAAACAGTGAGTTTAGTTTCTCCTTGGCGTCACATCGGGGAACATTGAAGGTCTTAGGGAAACAAAACTCACTGTTTCCCTTGTGGCCAGTCATTAAGTGCTTATCAAGATTTCTGCATACCAACAACGTTGATTGGAGATCGTTTCGGAAGAAAGCAAGTTCCTAAGCAAGAAGTAAAAGACCTGAGCCAACGCTGAAATCGTGAAAATTGAGAGGATCTACTGCCGCCAATAACTTGATAAATATTATTTTGTCCAAACCCAAAGACAGGGACGAGATCGGACCTGAAAATGATAAACATTTCCATCTGATTACGATTCATCTCAAAACTCTGAGTGATGTAGAACTGAATAGTTACAACCAGGAATACCAATCCAGAGGGTGCCTCTCAAAAATTGATAAAAACTAATGGTAAAGATTAAAAATAAATTAATAAATATGCGAATGAAAAATGCTGAATAACGGAAATCAAGGAGCGTAGTTCAGAAAAGGTTCACGTCTCTGCGAATTCCTAAGAGGCAAGAAATTTCCTTTTTACCCCACGAGTTTGAGCTAAGTACGAACTTTCTATTTCGCGTCAGGCTTTTATAAACCATCCGTGTCGTCGTCAGATTTACTTATTGGTGAAATCAGATAAGACGTGAAAAGATGGATCCCATAAAGTTATAGGCTGGACAATGATGCTTTGGAAATACTGATAATCGAAATTACAGTGATAGTAAATCAATGAAACCTTTGGTAATAGACGACTTTCCAACTGATAAGAAACTCCAAGTCTTATACACACCCAGTTTGCAAAGCCAGTTTCATGAATCCTTTCCGCCGTTTTATTATCAGTGCGTAGCTGTCAAAGCCCATTTCACGAATCTCCGCTGCTCCTCCCACAACGATGACAACCGAGTGTCCCGCCCCCTTCTGCGTCAGATTGTATTCCAAGCTGTGACGTGATACATCGATCACGCCAAGGGCCATAAGAATATCACGGTATAACAAGGCTTTAAGGATTGCTGCACCAAAAAAATTCCGGAAAAACAGCAAACTAGAGATAAATATTCTTTTGCCTTTCTGTATCTCTTACATAAGGGTTACAAGGGTGTAGTTTGGCCACCTAGTGTCTGTCAGGAGTTTCACTTTAGGCACAGTCGGGATATAAAAAAAGAATGGGCCGAGAATTTGAGCCCATACTTTTTGTACTCACTGAAAAGCTGACGAAATATTGATTTGAAAAGGTGTTTTAATATTTGAGTTAAAGGATTATGAAGAAATCGAGGTACGATCCGTGATCCAATAGTTCACAAGTCCAGAAATACTGATTTTACACCGAAATGTTTTGTAACAAATGACCAAGATTTAAATGGTTGAATATTTTTTCAACAGATCAGTTGTGCGCATATTTCCGAAAGTAGAAAGAAAGATAAATTAATTCCCAGACGAAACACAAACTGTAATAGTAAAATTACTGCAAACTTTTGACTGTTTCCTTAAAATTTTCAATCGTAAAAAGTCAACCAAACCTGATCGATAATATGGCGATTCGAGTTGATTTAGAGTACCTGATGTCACGGACAGATGTGGAATGATTCCGGGGAACTTGTCACTAAATCCACATGCTTCTGTATTCAATCCTATCGATGCTCCTTCGGTAAAAGCTCCATGGGGATGATATCCAAAAATGTAATTCTTCTGTGGATCGAGGTCGCTAGTTTTGACGAGGGTAATAGGATAGTAATCCCTCATGTACTTGAAAACAGAGAGCCTTCGTACAAAGTTTATCAGAAGGTCTCTTCCGCCACGTTCTGGGGTTTTCCACTCAACAAGATATGTCCATGATAAATAGAGAAGTACAACCGGCCATAAGGGTGTATAAAAAAATATTTGGTAAAGCGTAAGGATGCCCAGTACGTGAGTGCCTCCTAAGAATCCCACAAAAGTACAGCAGTGCTATACTCAAATATTGTAAAATGTAGTCGATACTTGGAGACATTTTTCGGGTTTTAGACCGAAACGGACAGCTCTAATTGGCATTGTGTGATGCTTGTCAAGCCTAATGAGAAGAACACGAAGATATCTTATACGTCATAGCTTCCGTTGATTGGTCCGTCCATTGTAAATATTGAAAAATTCAGGAACGTTGGAATTGAAACTTTACAGTTGATAGGGATCAGCGGAATGTCTGGTTTATATCCTCGCTATTCTGCCCTCGGAGGAATCGTTACAAATGCCATGAATAACGGCGTTTTACTGCTATTCTCAGTATTATCCTCGGAGGGTTCCATTTGAGTTACAGTTAGAGGTGGGATATGAAAAGGGAAGAACTGGGAACTTGGTTCACTACTTTTTCGTGTTGGCTGGGAAGCCATTCTTTTTACCAATTTGAGGATATAATTTTACATTTGAGTAAAGGAATACGGATACATCGAGGAACGATCAGTAATCCACTAGTCAATTAGTCCAGGGATACCGATCTTACTTCGAAATGTTTTGTTACAAATGACCAAGAATGAAATGGCTAAACATTTTGTCAACAGATCGGATGTAAGCATATATCTGATTAAAGAATGAAAGAGAAATTAATTATTTGACGAATTGTAAACGTTGATGGTTAAATAAGCGAACACTTAAGCTGTTTACTTAAAATTTTCAATCGTAACAAAGCATCAACCAAACACGACATTAAAATGTGGAGATTCGAATCGATTGGAGCATACCTGACTTCGCGGACAGATGTGGAATGATTTCAGGGAATTTGTTATTAAATCCACATGCTTCTGTATTCAATCCTATCGATGCGCCTTTGGTTGCGTCATAACGTGTGTTACTGTAAATAATGATAAATCTGGGAATAGTGGAATTGTAACTTTGCAGTTATTAATGATTGGCGGAATGTCTGAGTCAAGCATTCTCACAATTCTTGCTACTTTTCCCTGCCTCCAGATAAATTTCGATAAAAGCCATGAATGACGGTGTGTGTTGCTTAACGGCATATAGCGGTTGTTTTGTCCCACCTTACTAGATTGTTTGCGAAGAATGCATTTTGTCAGTGAACCCCTGATAAAGTGATAAACCTAATTTTGCGGGTGACGCAGGCTAAGAGTTTGATGCCACCCGTGGCCTGCAATTAATTTCGCAATTTCATGGAGTCTCCCCCCATTCGCTTCGCCGCTCGTATGTGTTTAGATAATTTCAAGTAAAGACACGTGTAAAAATCCCGCCATGTGCTTAGAGGCTAGAGAGTTTGTTGATGTATTCCTTAGGTAGTTCGCGGTGGGAAATTTAACACTTACAATATTGCGCACATTCTCGACCCTTATGCACAACAGAACTCACTGCACACCATGGGACCTTTAGGTAAGAAAAATATGGTGGGAATTTCCGAGTTTGCGGGTGAGTTTTCCTGGAAGAGGGACCAATCAAAACGACTGTAATTTGGTACATTTTTTTTAGGGTAAAAGGGAAAAAACTTCAACCAACTTCGTTTAATATAAATTAGACGATCAACAACTCTGATCTCTCTGATGGGTGATACTTGTCCTTATATTTCTCGTACAATCCTTTCAGTTCGTCTATGTACCGTGCGTGAAGTTTGTCGATGTCCTCCTGCGTTGGACACTCAATCTTAGATACAGAAATGGGCGATCCCACTGTGGAAAGGAAAAGTGAAACCATTACTGAACTAACCACTATAGAATTGATATGAAGAGAAATCATACGCTAACAACAGATCTGTTGGTTGCTAGCTTGTGTCGAATGTAATTTAGGATTGCATAGGTCTTTCTTTGGAGCTCTTTTCGATCGAGCGTTGTAACACCAAAACTTAAATAATCGCAACGGCCTGTCAGGAGGAAGAAAAATAACTTAAAGAGCCTATGAGAACTCAAGTTAAAACAACCAAGAGCGCAGGAAAACGCGAGCGATCAATTCGTGATTGGTTCTAGTTTTGCGTCTGATTGGTACGTTGAGAAAGCGGGACGAGTTTTCTGGACCAATCATAGAGCGAAGCAGAGCAAAACTAAAGGTATCTCAGATTGCTTTTGATACTCAATTTGTTAAAAAAAAAACCACTGCATAAAAGAGAAAAACATTCATTAATGAAAAATACGCTTACCTACAACGTTGATTGGAGATCGTCCCGGAAGAAAGCAAGTTCCGAGGCAAGAAGTGAAATTTCTAAACCAAAGCTGAGGTCGTGAATATTGGGTGCAACTACTGCCGCCAATAAAATGACGATAAAGATTATTCTGTCCAAAGCCGAATACAGGGACAAGATCGCATCTGAAAAATGATAAACGTTTCCGCACTTACTTACAGTCCATGTCAAAACTCCGTGTAATGGAGGATACAGAATATTCACAACAAGGGTAAACGAGTCAGCTTATGCCTCCCGACTAGCGGCTATCCTTGAAGCGGAGGCTGGGGGTTGGGGTTGGGTTGGGTAGGGGCGATGCTAGCTTTGAAGGCAAGATAATTCTTCTAACATTTTTCAGCCTTCTTTGCCATCTTACTTTCAGCAGGAACCCATTACTTAGCTCCTGCTTTTAGCTGAAATTACAAGAGATAAGATGTCAGAAAGATAAGATGCCTGTCTGATACAAACCCAAGTTGTAAAGCCAATTTAATGAATCCTTTCCGCCGACTCATTATCAGCACGTAGCTATCAAAGCCCATTTCTCGTATCTCTGCTTGTCCGCCCACAATGATGACAACCGAGTGTCCCGCCCCCTTCTGTGTCAGATTGTATTCCAAGCTGTCACGTGTCACATCAATCACGCCAAGGGCCATCACGATATCACGGTATAACAAGGCTGTTAGGATACCTGAACGAAAAGTTTCCAGAAAACAAGCAAGTCAGATACAAACCGAATAAGCCCCATATGCGTTTGTCTCTTTTCTTACACTGCAACTTGCCTTAGGACTGCTCATGGGTGCGGTGTGTCTACTCGGTCTCATTCCTGCCGTGGGTTCCATTTTAGGTGCATTCAAATGTGGTATATGGAAAGGGAAAAGCTAGGAACTTGGGTCAATACTTTTTCTTGCTCCCTGGTAATTGATGAAATACTTGAATAATTGAGTACATGGAATACAGTTACGTCGAGGTGCAGTCCGTAATCCACTTAACCACTGATCCAGGGATACAGATTTTACACCCAAATTTATTGTTACAACTAACTAAGAATGAAATAGATGAACATTTTGTCAAAAGATCAGTCGTATACATGTTTCTCGTTAAATAACGGACAAAGAATGGATACTTGGACGAATCAAAAACTGTAATAATGTCAAAATAGGCAAAAACTTTGGGCTGTTTACTAAAAATTTAAATCGTAATGAAGTATTGACCAATATGGCGATTCAAGTTGATTTAGCTTACCTGAATGCGCGGAAAGATGCGGAATGATTCCGGGGAATTTTTCACTAAATCCACATGCTTCTGTATTCAATCCTATCGATGCTCCTTCAGTAAGAGCCCCATGGGGATGATATCCAAAAATATAATTCTTCTGTGGATCGAGGTCGCTAGTTTTGACGAGGGTAATAGGAAAGTAATCCCTCATGTACTTGAAAACAGAAAGCCTTCTTGCAAAGTTTATCAGAAGATCTCTTCCGCCACGTTCAGGGGTTTTCCACTCAATGAGATACGTCCATGATAAATAGAGAAGTACAACCGGCCATAAGGGTGTATAGAAGAACAGCTTGTACAGCGTAAAGATGCCCAGCAGGTGAGTGCTCGCTAAGAATCCTACGTAGTACAGCAGAACGATGCTCAAAGTTTGTAGAATGTAATCGATAGTGAGGGGCATTTTTCGGGTTTCACACAAAAAGAAGCAGTTGAAGTACGCGTAGCATGATGTTTACCCAATCGATGGAAGGAGGAAACATGGTACGTAGTTGAAGCACACAACCAAAAATTCTGGAATTGTGGAACTGTAGTTATCAAGGGATAACGGATAGGCGGAGTGTATGAGCTGGGTTCTTGTTACCTTTCCCTGCTACCGGAGAATTTTAGAAGAAGCGATTAATATAAATAATGAAGTGTGTTGCTTGGACGACATACAACGTTAGTTCTTGCCCATAAAGCTCGATTGTTTGCGAAGGATGTGTCTTGTCAGCGGAGCCTCTTGGCGAACGATAAACCCATTGAAGCGAGTGATGCAAGTCGAGGGTTTGGTGCTGCAATGTCGGCGAATCTTTTTCCCGTTCACTTCGCAATTAACGTTGCCATGCGTTCAAGTAACGTCAAGTAAGGCCGCGTAAATAACCCGCAATCTGCTTAGGCTACAAAATTGTTTTTATAAATCTTTTGCTAGTTTGCAGTAGGGAAGTTATTGCGTTTCCAACAATAGACTTACGGATGAGGTTTTTAATCAATATTCTGTAATTTCTCTAGCTATTAACTGCAGCCGGCCATTAAAATGAGTTTTATTTTCATTTTTCGGTGACGTGACAGACAAAAAGAAACAATTGATGCTCTACGGATTCTCAAATCCTACGCACCCTAGGACCCACGATACATCTCATCGTTAACGCGAAAGGATCTCAGCATGAGAAATCTGGTGGGAGTTTCCGCTGGGGGTATGGGTGAGTTTCCCAAGGAAGAACAAATAAAAACGACTGTATATTAGTGACATTTTATCGAGACTAAAAAAAAAAATTCAAACAACTTCCCTTTTAGTAACTAGATGATCAACAACTCTGATCTCTCTGATGGGTGATATTTGTCCTTATAGTTCTCGTACAATTCTTTTAGTTCGTCTATGTACCGTGTGTGAAGTTTGTCTATATCTTCCTTCCTTGGAATATCAATCTTGGAAACAGAAATAGGTGATCCCACTGCGGAAAAGAAAATTGTAATACTACTAAACTACCATTATGCAATCAGCGTGAGTAGAAATCATACATAAAACAAAAATTTGATGGGTACTAATTTGGGATTGCATCGGTCATCTTTTTATCATACAGTTTTCCAGTTCATGTTGATCCTAAATCCTAGAAGGAATGTTCGACTTGTAAATAAAAGTGCTTTCAATAAAAAGAAAACATTCACAAATGAAAAATACGCTTACCTACGACGTTGATTGGAGATCGTGTCGGAAGAAAACAAGTTCTGAGGTAAGAGGTGAAATTTCTGAACCAAAGTTGAGGTCGTGAATATTGGGAGCAACTACTGCCGCCAATTATATTAAGATAAAGATTATTCTGTCCAAAGCCAAACACAGGGACAAGATCGCACCTGAAAATGATAGATATCTCCATTTGATTACAGTTCATGTCAAAACTCCGAGTAATGGAGGACCAGGATCATCTTACTACAACAACAACAAGTAAACTTAGGTTAACAATTATCGGAAGAAAAAAAAAAGACAAATGCCAGAAGGATAACAAGAGCGTAGCAAGGGGGGGGGGGCCCGGGGTGCCCTTGATCTCCGCTTCGTAAGCCTCTTTTTGAGCAAACAACCTACAATATTCCGGTGGCGAAAATAGTGAGTACTCTCTTTTAGGCACAGTTTGACCCCCCCCCATGAAGAATCCTGGCCTCGCTCCTGGATAAGATGACTGTAACGTGAGATGAATGACAGTCTTCTGGCTTAAAAGTAGAAACACGAAGTCGTATACCAACCCGTTTTGCAAAGCCAGTTTGATAAATCCTTTCCGTCGTTTCATTATCAGCGCGTAGCTGTCAAAGCCCATTTCACGGATCTCCGCTGCTCCACCCACAACGATGACAACCGAGTGTCCCGCCCCCTTCTGTGTCAGATTGTATTCCAAGCTGTCACGCGACACATCAATTACGCCAAGACTCATCAGTATGTCCCGGTATAACAGGGGTTTTAGTATAACTGCAGGAAAAATCGATAAACAAGTATACGTAAATCAGAGATATGGCTTTAAGTCTCCTTTTTTTCTCTGTAATCAGCTGTTGACAGGGGTTCGATCAAAGTTTGCTCAAAAATATTAATTATGTAAAGGGCACCAGCTTGGAACTCTTTGCCAACCTGTCCAGCAATCTGAAAACTGTTTTACGTGACCCTTCCCCTCACGAGGATTGGGAACCGAGTCAAAGTAAAACTGTGAGACAAATTTCAAGGAGAAGTATGCTCCAACTTTTTCTTTCTTTCTCTGCCAAGTTGATACAAGATTAACAGCTTTTTGCGATTTGAGATTCCAAAGAGTGGAAAAACAAAATTATAATAATGATAAATAAGTGTAGCTTCTGAACGTACCAAGAAAGAGATCAGAGTATGCTAGAACATAGCAGGTTAAGTGGCAAGGGTGCCTGGCAAGATTAAAGATGTCGGCGTCCTTATACTCACGTGAAGATAATTTATGAGGTCAGTTAATCTTTGAGATCCCAAAACACGTACGACGTCATGATTTCGCATGTACCTTTTTATGATGGTGATTTGAAATAAATGGCTTTGTGGAACATATTACTCCTTAAAGACTCCTTTATTAATCTAGCGGATGAAGTGAGGTACGATCCTCTCTCTACTAGTCCATTGGTCCAGTGATCTAGATTTTACTTTAGGCAGGAAAATATGCAAATCAACACGAAGTGAAGTCTAAGCTTCATGACGAGTATAAAAGTTGTATAAAAAGTATTTCGGGTCACACGAAGGAGTACGACAAACTGCTGAATGCACCACTGATTCTTAAATAATAATAGTAGGGTGATAATGTGAAAATTTCATACACAAGGAAAAGAAACGAAACCCAATGAAACGTCAACAAGGCCTGTTAAGATATTTTAAAGTACCTGAGGTCACGGACAAATGCGGAATGATTCCAGGGAATTTTTCACTAAATCCACATGCTTCTGTATTCAATCCTATCGATGCTCCTTCGGTAAAAACTCCATGAGGATGATATCCAAAAATATAGTTCTTCTGTGGATCGAGGTCTCTAGTTTTAACGAGTGTGATAGGATAGTAATCCCTTATGAACTTGAAAATAGGGAGCCGTCTCATGAAATTCCTCAGAAGATCTCTTCCACCACGTTCAGGGGTTTTCCACTCGGTGAGATACGTCCATGACAAATAAAGAAGCACAAACGGCCACAAAGGTGTATAAAAGAACAATTGATACAGAATGATGATGCTCGGGATGTGTGTGGCTCCAGAGAACTGCACCACATGAAGTAGTATAACACTCAAAGTTTGCAGAAAGTGGTTAAACTTAGCCCTGTTGGAAAACATTTTTTGGGTTCTATGCATAAACAACTGATCAGAAAAGTAAGAAAGCAACGTAACCTATTTCAGCGTGACCGCTGTTAGCTCTTCCTGTAAGCCTGATGACGTCATAGTTAAGCCGCTTGTCAACAACGGGAAATTCAAGAATAGTGAAAGTAAGGAATTTTGAGGAGTTACGGATCGGTAAGCTTACATCATCATTATAAAATGTTCTCAGTCTTTTCTTGGTCTCACTTTGTTTTTCAAAGCATTGGGCTAACGAACATCAACTTTAGAAAATCTCTAATAACCAAATCATCTTGTAATATCCCCTGCGAAGCAGCAGCATCTGAGGCCATAAAAAATAGAATTCGTAAATTTCACCTGTTTTATCGTCACATTTTCAGCTCTACCTCCCTCACTGGGAAGAGCCACAAAATCCTGGTTTCTAGAATCACCCGATTTTGCAAGGGGTCTTAGTAGACTGGGCCTAGGGGTATCGTTCGGAAATAATTACGTCATTAAAATGTGAGAGGTATCCTTTGTCAGCGGCGTTGCACGATGACGCCGGAAGAGAAGTGCAAGATGGCAGTCGGAGCAGTGAAGATTGAAGCAGATGCTTACATGGTTTGTTTGACTCACGCTCTATCGACTGAAAGGGAAGAAGTTATGGGCTTGTTAATCGGAGAGGTATTTTACTGTCGTCATTGCCACCTTTCAGCTGTTTTGAAGTAATGGGTATAAAAGTCACTTCTTTTGAATTGTAAACACCCTAAGTGCCTCACTAGTGAAATCAAACTTTGTAAATATTGTGGGTATATGGTTAGAATTGTGTATGTATTGGAATTTTTCTTATCATTAAGAAACTATAGTCTGCAGAATTGTGATTTCTCGACCTGTTGCTGGTTAAAAACCCACAATCCCTCGTGTATTCGAGTCAAAGACAGCTGGCTTAATTTCATTATTCAGCCATACATTGGTTGTCACAATCTACTGATTTTCGTTTCCCCGGGACATATCCATTCTCCATATATCGATCTAAATGCTCTTCGTTTCAAATTGTACTCTCATATATTTGGTGTATGATCTCTTTCTTCTGTTCCTCTTTTAGGTTGAGGATGAGAGAGTAGCTCATATTTATTCAGTTATCATGCTTCAGAGACTGGACAAGCGGAAGGATCGGGTGGAGATTTCTCCAGAACAATTGTCAGATGCCTCAACACAGGCAGAGGTAAACTATCATGATCTTAACGGGTCGAAGAAATGGGTCAACAAGCTGCAATCTTCAATTGATGGTTTGACTTTATAATTTAAGGCAACTTTAAATCATGGGACAAACCATTAAGTATTCATTCATGGTTATAAAAGCAATGCTTAAACAGATAAGTTGCAGTATTTTTCTTCTGATATTTCAGAGGCTTGGTATGTTGACGTCAAAACAGCGACCAATGAGGGTGATTGGTTGGTATCATTCTCATCCTCACATCACTGTTTGGCCATCACATGTTGGTAAGTTCCTGATGTGATAGCATGCGATCATTAATATAAAGTCAAGCCTGATGCCTTAACCCTTATTGTCAACTATACAATTGTTATATTGTTAGTTCAGAGAATTTAGTAGTGGATCAACTAATAATCCCCAAATTGATATTTTGCTCAATTCTCATCACTTATCTGGTTGATATTGTATTGATATTGTAAGGAGAAATTCTGTCTTGGTCACTCATGGGAGTTAAAGGGTTAAACCCTTTCACCAAGAAATAAATATTATTATTTGAGAACTGTCTAATGGCTGTCTGATAATCTGCTTCATGAGACTGTTAGGTTAGGACCCCTTTTATCTTTAGACATTAGAGGGATGATATATTAAACTGGAAAAAGGAAAGAAAAGCAGTTATAGACAGAGGCTAAGAGATTTGCCCAAATGAGATGGATGTCTTTATTGTCAATGCATATCATGCTTTCCTATTGAGTTACAATGAAATGACACTTAAGTGGTAAGTAGTGGGAAAAAGGGTAATTTTAGTATTATCAACTGAGTTGATAAAGTAAATTGGCCACAGTTAAGAGTTTAAAAGCTGGAGTTTTGAATGCTATCCCTCCTTCAATTGCTCTGATGAAGGTCTGATGAAGGGCTAATGCTGAAAATGTCCACTTTTAAACTCTTTTTATAAAATAATTCAAATAGTATGCGCGCTCTGATTGGCCATAAAACCATTTTACATGAGCGTATGTAAACAAGGTTTTCATTCCTCTTTCATTAGTTATTTTATAAAAGAAATGTAAAATGGTTTCCATGTTTACATAGCCTGATGTAAACACTTGGGAGGTTGGGAGAACACTCAATAAGCTGGAAACCACTCCACTTCACATTGTGGTTTCCTACACTTATCTTGTGTTCTCCCAACCTCCCACATGTTTACATCAGGCTATGTAAACAGAGAAACCATTTTACATTTCTTCAACAGTGGCTAATTTATGTTATCAACTCAGTTGATTATGCTAAATTACCCTGTTATACTCTCTCACCAATGCAGCTCTGCAGTTTCTTTAGAAACTTACCTCCTTTAATTCATTAGTGTAAAAAAAGGTAGACCGTGAATTGATGCAGTAATGAAATAATTCTACTTGTGCAATAGACCTACGGACTCAGGCCTCTTACCAATTTATGGATGCAGGATTTGTTGGCCTTATCTTCTCTTGTTTCAATACTGATACAAATTTGGTGAGTGGCTTACATGTAGTATTTAACCCTTTCACTTCCAAATGTCATTACTTTAGTTATTCTACTTACTGTCTGCCATACTATTCAACTTATGTTAGTTTGGAGAGTTAGGAATTGGATCAATTAGTAATCCCCTAATTGATACTTTTCTTTGTCAACACTTGTCTGCTTAATATTGTATTGTTATTATTGTGAGGAGAAATTCTATTTTGGTCACTCGTGGGAGTTAAAGGGTTAACTTTTCTTGAACTTGACTGCCATAAAATAATAATTACAGGAATGTGGCAATCTCTTTTTGGTCTGAAGTCAAAGTAAATACACATTTTCTTAGATATCACCTAAGTTCTGTCATTGGTAAAAATGAAAATTTGCCCCTTTCTCCTTGGTTTCCTTGGTATCAAGCCTTGATATAGCATGTGATTCTCTCATGATGAATACCAGCTATCCAGTACTCAATTCAATTCAATTCAATTCAATTTTATTTGTTAGCAATACAATATTATCACAGACCTAGGTGACCCGCAATTAGCAAGCTATTCTAGGCGGGCCACCCTTCTAAAACAAGTGCTGTCTCTGCTAAGGATCACATACCGATACAATTAAACAAAGATAATCATTAATAAAAATACAATTGTTAAATAAAATAAAATAAAATTAAGTCCGTTGAATAATTAAATAATCAATTGCAAAGTTATCAAGATATATAATACAATTGAAACAAGACTTAAACGAAGAGTTACTTTATCAAGAGATATTTACAAATTTCAGAGCAGCGTATATCAACATTCATCTCCTCAATTTCCAAAAGTTTTAACAGGCGATTTTTAAGTTCACGCTTAAACGGGGTTCTGTTTTTAATACGAAGTTCTTTTGGGATGCTATTCCACAATCTTACACCTATTCTAGCAAAAGAAAATAAAAGTTGGTTAGTTCTAGACGCTTTAACGTACAGATTAGCCGTTGCTGAGAATCTTGTGAAATGGTGATGAACCTGCTCGGAGTGGATAAAGAGCATAGAAATATTAGACGGGCACGGTGATTATCAATGTCATGCATCAAAGAGGAAACCAAATGAGAATAGAGCATAGTTATTGGTAAGATTCTGGAGTTAACAAATAGCGGGGCACTATGAGATTTGCTATCCCAAAAAATACATTAGTCGAGAGCACGTTTTTGTAAAATGAGAACCTTATTTAAATGAGTGTTAGCAGCTTGTCCCCAGGCAATAAGACCATAAGAGATATAGGGTTCAATTAAGGAGCGGTAGATGTTAAGAAGTGTGGCAAATGGGACAAGATGTCTTAACCTGGCAATTATACCAATTCCTTTACTAACTTTAGATGAGATATAATCAATATGATACTTCCAAGAGAGGTTATTATCTATCAGAATTCCTAGATATTTCACAAAAAGTTTTTGTTCTAGAGATACACTTTTTTTTTTTAAGATCGTTATTATAAATTTTCAAGTGAACTATGTAGTCCAATTTGCGTTGGTAAGGATGGAAAATAACAAAGTTAGATTTACTAGTGTTAAGAGAAAGTTTGTTTGCGTCCAACCAGTCACCCACTTTTTATGAGTTCATCATTAACAACTTTTTCAAGATCCTTAAGATCTTTGTTTGAATAAAGCAAGTTAGTATCGTCAGCAAATAGGTAAAACTCAAAAATCTGGGAGCAACGGTAAACTGTCGTTAACATAAATCAAAAAGAGAAGGGGGCCAAGTACAGACCCTTGAGGGACACCACAAACTATCTCTTCTATATTCGACACGGTTGAACCAATTTGAGTCGACTGGTTCCTGTTCAACAAGTACGAAGAGAACCAGTTATTAATTATTCCTCTGACTCCATAATGATATAATTTGTGCAGTAAGATTGAGTGATCCACCGTATCAAAAGCCTTTTTTAGGTCAATAAAAATACCACAAGAGAATAACTTTGCATCAATATTAGTTTGAATTTTGCTTAAGATATCTAAAATTGCATGTTGGGTTGAACACTTGTCTCTAAATCCATATTGAAACAAACAAAGGTAGTCTGGTCAGTAGATTACTGGGTGGTGTAATGTTGCTTGACCCTTCACACCCTAACATCAGTATGTATTTTCTCCCTACTGTTCTCTATACATTTCCTGAAGTGCTGACAAGGAGAATTTGTTTAAAATCAAGAGCTTTATTAATTGGTGATCATTTCCTTGATTCTCATGATCTTAATGTTTGATTCAGGGCTGATATTGTAAGGAGAAATTAGAAGCTGGTCAATCTTAGGGGTTAAAAGGTTACAGTTTCTTTTTTCTTAACCAAACATTAATATCTTGTCACCACTCTATTAGTTAAGGTTCTCCAATGGTAAGTTTGAAAAAGTTAAGCTTGGAGCCCTGTTTAGTAACTTTTTTACCCTCATGATTCTTTCAGGGTGGCCATTTAAAAGTGTATTGTTTTCAGTCCGTGAACATCAAGCCTGAGGGGAGTCCTCCACAGTAAGTTCACTTTCCATACTCCTATAGTCACCAGGAAAAACCAGCTGAAATAGCTGATATAAACTCCAAGCAGCAGCATTCAGATCTGTTTTGCTCAAGACACAAATTGAAAGCATCATCTACCAGTGTCTGGTTTAAATATATAATTGGATTCCATGTTCAGAATTTGCATGGATGTTCATGCTTACCATAAGTTTAACTGAATAGTTCACAGACATGAAATTTGATGAAATAACATAGTATCCATACTGTCTTTTATTTGCCACATACTTTCAAACTTGGTGACAGCCCTGTAGGGGTATCTTTGGTCAGTTCTTGTCATGGATTAGGTGTAAGCTCTGCAGCTACATGTATCTAATTCAATTTGATATGTGGACTTGATTTAGATGGTTTGATCTCAGTTTTTTCTAAAGGGTGCCTTAGGCCATGTGATATATATGTATTATTTTTTATAACCAAGTGCTCTGTATTTTCTTATTGCATCAGATATCAGCGAGCTGACATTGAGCTTCAAATAGTTCATACAGAGGTTTTGTCAAAGGCTACTTTAAACAGCTTGTCAGAACTGCCACAAATACTCTCAAAGGTGAGGTGATAGAATGATTCCTTAAAGTAGGGTGATTCATTTCAAAAACTAAACTCAGGAAAAAAAAAACGAAGTCTGTGAAGACCACCTTTGCATAGATATACATGTATAGATAAACTTTTCATTTCTCTATCAAAGGATTTATTTGGACTCTAGAATCATTTGTAAGTTGCCTACCAAAACTACAGTCAACTAGATAAAAAGAGGATAAGTTTCTAAAGAAACTGTGGTGCTGCATTGGTGGGAGAGTATAACAGGCAATTTAGTGTTAACAACTGAGTTGAAAACATAAATGAGCCACCATAAAGAGTTTAACCCTTTAACTCCCAGATCAAATGTTTCATTCTCCTTACTGTCAACCATACAATTCTTGTAATGCTAGTTTGGAGAATTAAGTATTGGATCAAGTAATTATCCCCAAATTGATATTTTTCTTTATTCTCATCACTTATCTGGTTGAAATTGTGTTGATATTGTAAGGAGAAATTCTGTCTTGGTCACTCAATTGCCCTTTCATTGCCCTTTGGTAGCCCTTTTTGACAAAGAGCTAATGCTCAAAATGTCAGCCTTTAACCTTGTTATGGTGGCTAATTTATGTTTTCAACTCAGTTGTTAACACTAAATTACCTGTTACAGTCAACTAGGTTTACTATGCAATTGATCACTGGTGAAGTCCAGCAGGAAACTTATCCAAAGTAGTTAATTGATAAATTTTAATGCATGATTTTATTTAAATGTTAATTAAATCTAACACTTATTGCTTAAAATATAAACCATCATTTCAAATACGAAAAAAATTATTTTTAAAGAAAATGATGGTTGTTGATTCACACCAGGTTGCCCTTGAACCAATGACAGTACTTTATTAATACTTGACTACTTAATAAATGCAGACAGACATTGCTGATGCCTTGTTTTCTTTTTTATTCATTAAAGGAAGAAGAAGAGGCATATAGTAAAACTTTGAAGTAAGTTTTCTATCAACAGAAATGCTTGCTAAAAAATATTATCGTTTTACCTTTTAGTTTTGTGTACAGCTTAGTATCTTCCTTAGTGCTGATGTTTATCCACAGAGACACTAACAGAAACCAATGACACTAGACAAAGGGTTTGTATCGAATCATGTTAACCCTTTAACTCCCAGATCAAATTTGTAATTCTCTTTATTGTCAACCATACAATTCCTATGATGTTAGTTCAGAGAATTTAGTATTGGATCAACTAATTATCCCCAAATCGATATTTTATCTGGTTGATATTGTATTTATATTGTAAGGAGAAATTCTGTCTTGGTCACTCATGGGAGTAAAAAGGTTAAAGGGGTTATTAGTCCATGTTCACTTAACTCTTTTCACTCCCAAGATCTTATTAATAATTCTCCCTACTGTTTGCTATACAATTTTTATGGTGTTAGTGTGGAGAATTTGGAACTGGATAAACTAGTCCCCTAAGTGATACATTTCTTTAATATCATTTCTTGTCTGCTTGACATTGAATTGAAAGGTCAAGGAGAAGTTCTGTCTTGGTTGCAAAATGCCAAGTGAGAGTAGATTATTGGGATAAGATATGCGATGAAGTATTTTTGTGTGGAAAGGGTGAACAAGTCATGAGTCAAGTTTATCAAAACTTGCTCTGCCTTAATCCAGATTTAGTTGGTATGGCGAAGCAATAGTGTGCTCCAGAGGTAGTGGTGGCCAGCATTTTAACCAACTACTTGATTTGACGCTTAAAAGTGTTGGCTGGTTTAATTATAAAAAGCAGTAAAATACTTGTCTTGTTCTGGTACAAATTTTACCCATTGTTGGCTGGTGTTATTTTCATGCCTGGCTTCTCAAAAGAAGTTTTTTTAAAAACTAATCCTGGATTTATTTCATAATTTCACAATTAAAATTGTGTTTTGAACAATGCAGCCAAGGTTCTTTCAAAATGCTCAGACATTTTTTCTGCTCTGAGTCATTTTATTCAAGTGATCACAGCTGGGTATTTTGTCCACTTGTATGAAACTTAAATTTACCATTTTTCTTAACAGCTCTAAGGATTTATTAACAGCAGTTCATAATAGTACAGGTTGGTAGAGGCATTTATTGAATCTATAATGTGATTTTAGTCATTTTGTGAACAATGTTTTAGAAAATTTGGTAGAGGTGGGATTCTTGGATGGACAAATTGCTTACTCCTATAGCCCTTGTTGAGTCAGCCCTGTGAATATCTTTCCAGGAACTTTTGTGCTGCAAGTGATTAACAGATTGTACTTCTTCTCTTTTGTGACCATGCAATGTACTTGCCTTAAGTTCCTGAGTGTGTGTTCTTAGCAGAGGAAAGAATTCTTGAAATAGCAAATTTTCAACTCCTTTTTATTTAATCTTGAAAACTTCAGCAGTACTTTGTCTTCAAATGTATTTGATTAAAATAAGTCAATTAATAAGCTGAGGGAATAAGTTTATTCTGTCATTTAAAAAGGCATCAGTGTTATTCCAGGTCATTCCACCCTACTGCATTTTCACCCATCTCCCCACACATTCCTCTTCACCCTCTACTATCCTTACTCCCCACTTCACTCCCACCCCCCCCCCCCCCCCCCCCCCCCCCCCTCCCCCCCCCCCCCCCCCCCCCCACTTTTGCTTCCCCCAATTCTGCATTACTCAGTATCTCTTCTTACCTTATTTCTGTTTTGATTAAATGTTTTTTTTTATTATTTTGGCAGTTTTTACCAAGGCTTTGTGTCAGCTCATGGAGGTTATGTGTGGACCTCTTCTTCAAACTTTGGAGAACAGATTACAGGTGAATCTCAAAAGAACAGCAGCGCTGGAAACCGAGAAAGAGACGTTGGAGAAAGAGATAAACAGTGTGAAGGCGGAATTACAGGGATCAATGTGAGAGAGAGAGACAGCTAAGCTATTTATAACAAAGATTATAGCTGAAAATAAGCTTAAAGAGAACTCGGTCACTTCAGAAAGACTGAGATGCGAGATAGTGTAAAGATATGGCGAACGTCTTCTTGTGGAGAAATAAAAATATCCCCCCTTCCTTTTACCCCCTGCGAGAGTCAGAGAAAGTGTGGAGATTGGAACCGAAAGTGCGCGGGGATGATGCGTGCCTGAAGGAACCATTGAGACACTCTTGGATTAATTGTTCCTGGTGCTGATGTCGGAGGTACAGATTTTGAAAGCATGAAATTTTTGTGGCCTTTTTCCCAAAGACACATCTTTCAAGTCAAGTGTGAGGAGACTCGTGTTTTATTTAGAAGAACCTTGATGTTGATACTCTGATATGTCGTGAGTTTAACCCTTCAACTCCTAGACATTCTCAACATGTAACTTCTCCCTATAATATCCATACATTATCCCGCGAAAATGTAATGAGAATACTCAAACTTATCAGGCAGAAATTGCTATTTTGATCAAACAGCAAATTCTTGTCACTAATTTACAAGGAAATGTGTAGCAGCTCGAGGGGAGAATTGACAATCATATCTTTGGAGTTAAAGGGTTAAAACACTCTAGGTATGATATTTCTTTGTTTTAAAAGAAGTGTTTGGTTTTACCTCAAATGGTATATATCGGTTGATCTGTCTAAATCTTTTTCCATGGAGTGCCAACAAATTTGATCTCGAGAAAAAATTTTTAAATAAAAGTAAATTTCAGAGACACCGCTTCTCGAAGAAAAAAATGCTTCCACGATTGGTACATATACTTACACAAACTTAATTTAAACACGAAATTTGAGTGTAGCTACAAAAGTTATGTCTTCGTGTTAAATATGATAAAATACAATGAAAATATAAATTCTAATAAGAATGTAAAATTTACATGCTATCAAATAATACATTAATAAAATATAAAATACAAAACACAATATGATATAATAATACATGTTTGTGATATTAAATATTAGAATTGAAAAAACTAAGAATTTTCCTCTTAAATTCATATTAATTGGTTATGTTGTATTGCTGAAGTGCACTGACTAGCCTCCACAGCTTTTTATGGGAAATTTACTCAATTGACATCCAAAAAATGATTGAAATCCATTGTCACACAGTAAACCCTTGTTCAACTACTGATTATTAACGTCACTAAGTCAATGGCGTTGTTTTGTGGAAAAAGACTGGAATATTTCCCGGAATGGGAAGGAGGTAGTTTTCTCGACGAAACTACGATCTAAAACTTTGCAAATGGCCTTGTACAATTAAAAGCAGGCTTTTTGGCGCCTGTAGTGTTCTTCGCTTCAACCACTGCAAACAAATGAGTCGTGTAGTAACACAACGTCACAGCAGTCAAAATGAAAGCAACAAGCATATGCTTACGCCATTTCTTCTTCCAAACTCGCACCACCGCAACATTTAAATAAGACATTTGCAACCAAAACGAGAACGAATTGAAGAAGAAATCGATACTTAGAGCAATAGACACGCGAAAAAAAAAAAACTGTGTTACAAATTGGACGTTGGATGAGGACGATGTTTCAGGGGAGTACATGAATTTAAACAACTGTATGAATCCAACGGCTGCGATCAGAGCTGTTGATTCTCCGAGAATAATCTGAATGCTCATGTCTGCGATGAAGCGCATACTCCTCGGGGTGCGAAATTTATTTGCGGCAATGAACGTCTCTCTACCGTCTCGTTTCAGTTTCTTGTAAATAAAATACCAAAAGTAATCCCGCATAACAATGGTCACCCTTTCTAGCAAATCCACCGCGCCGTGTGCGAAGCTCAGCGCTATGAACAGTCGAAGGCTGGTGAGATCTGCCTGCATCACACGGAAAACGATGGCGGAGGCGTAATACAGGACACTCAAAAGCACGTGCGCGTCTCCTGGGTGAAAGAAATCGATTCTTTGCGCCGCCAAACGCACGATGACCTTTGGTATGGCAGTTACAAGCGGGAGTCCGCCAGCGATGATCGCTCTTATGGTTTCATTTGCATCTCTATACAGCGGAATCAGCTTATAAACAAGGTAAAATGTGATCGGTATGCCAAAAGCAAACTGAGCCGTCAGCATCGCAGAAACCTTTTTTTTTTTTATCCTAGATCTCCTTGTTGTCAGTGCTTCGTTATTCTTTGCGACTTCTCTACCAAGTAGTAAACTGTTCATGAGCAAAAGCGACACGAACAGACCGTTCAGAGGAAGCGACTTCCAGGATACCATGTAGGTTCCATAAACCTGAAGATATAGTCTGTAGCAGCTATCAAGAAACGCACCGAGCAAATTCAGGGTCAGCAGGTTCAGTTTCTTAATCACCGGCCATCCAAACATCACCAGCACGACAAGAAATGTCCACATTTGAACAACGTAAGCTTCGCTAGTTGCCGCAGTAACTATTACTGCCTGAGTCCGTTTAGTAAGTGCCTTCCAATTTGTAGACTGCTTATCAAAGCAGAGATCTACGGAATTGAAGTCTAAAATCAGTATTAGAATAGCAAGCGAACCGAGTGCCATCCCACCTACAATTTGAATGTAAAATGCGTGTTTCATGGCCTTCCAAAGCGACATCCACCATTTTTCTGGCCGAGATCTCTTCCATGCCATTTTGCTATCGTCGTCTGGTGGCGCATCGTACTCCTGGAAGACCGTGTCTTGCGGATTGAACTTTGTAAAATCTTGCAAAGGGTCTTGTCGTTCTGCCAAAGGGATGTTTTCAAGGATTCCCTGCCCCTGATAAGATTGAATCACACCGGCTGTGAACGTTTCTGCTAAATATATTAGCACTCCTTCGAGCGAGAACGGAGTTGCTGCCATCTTCAAGGCGAATTCAGCGGAGTTTTTCAGGGGATGCTCTGTCTTTCTGTTGATACAGTTCAGCTCCAAAGAAAGCTCTCTTGCTTCTTTACAACGAGCACAATAAACCAGACAGTTAATAAATATTTACCTTTGAATCCTCGTAGAACTGAATATAAACCGTAAACTGTTGGTTAAAGTTCACATTACAGTCTTGGTCAATTCTTGGAAAGCTAAAGGAAGTAAAACATAAATGTACTTATTTTTTCTTTACAATTTCCATATTTGGATAACAAGGAAGAGAAAAAACATTATCGACTAATATCTTACGAGGTAATTTAGTGTTAACAACTGGGTTGAAAACGTAAATTAGCCACCGTAAAGGGTAAAAAAGCTGACGTTTCGAGCGTTAGCCCTTCGTCAGAGCGATTAGAGGAATTGTGGGTTGTGTGTGGATTTATATGTAGAAAGTGGAGCTATACGCCATTGGTGGGAATATGGTGACGAGAAAACAGGAATAAATTAGTTGAATGAAAAGCGCTCGTTGATTCCGTGGGGATTAAGGGTGCTGATTTGGAATATAAATTTTGTGTTCTAGTGTTTTACGGCTTTCCGAACTGCCTAGATGTAAGGAAAGGCCGCAAACTGCCATATGCTGTTTAGAATGATAAGGAAGATTAAAGTGTCTAGCGACTGGTTTGGATGCGTCCTTGTCATTTCTTTCCACATCGCGAAGGTGTTCTCGGAATCGGTCACCCAGTCGTCTTCCTGTTTCGCCGATGTATAACTTATTGCAATAAGTGCAAGTTATGCAGTAAATAACATTGGCGGAGGTACACGTAAAGTGATCAATGATCTTAATGGATCTTTTGGGTCCCGATATTTTCTCTACGTTATGAATGAAAGGACAAGTTTTGCATCGTGAGCGAGCGCATTTAAAAGTTTCAGATTGGTCATTGGTTTGAAATGAACTCCTGACTAACAAGTTGCCTATGTCTTTGTCACGTTTGAATGAAATAAGTGGGGGTTGCGAAAAGATAGTGCCAGTCTCTGAATCGTTTTGGAGTAATTTAAAATTTTTACGAATGATAGATTTAACTGCGTGGTTGTGAGGGTGAAATGTAAGAGTAAATGGAATGCGGTCAGTGTTCTCCTTCTCGGCCGTTTGTAGTGCTGCCTGTCGATCGATTTGTTGGGCACGGTGGTAGCCCGCTTGAACGACAGAAACAGGATAGCCGCGTTTATCGAAAAACTGGCACATTGCCTCTGATTTTTCGGAAAAATCAGAGTCGTCACTACATAAACGACGAAGTCTGAGAAACTGTGAAAAAGGTATGGAGCTCTTGACGTGTGATGGATGTGAGGATGAATACAACAAGTAACTATGTGAATCTATAGGTTTGTAGTAAACACTAGTACATAAGCCGTTGCCTTCAATTGAAATTTTGATGTCTAGAAAAGCCAAAGAAGTGTCGGAAATTTCCCAGGTATATTTAAGAGCCGGATGAAAGGAATTGACGACGGTTATAAATTGAGTGAGCTCCTCTTTGGTAGAGGAGGTAGCGCCGATGCAATCGTCAATGTAGCGGCCGTAGAGTTGAGGTTTTGGGCCGTGGTATTGGCTAAAAAATTGATGTTCGATAAAACCTACAAAAAGATTGGCGTAGCTGGGTCCCATTTTAGTACCCATGGCCACGCCATTAGTTTGTTTGTAGTAGTTACCACCGAATGAAAAGCAATTGAGTGTGAGTACTAGTTCGGCCAGACGGAGTAGTGTTTCAGAGCTAGATCCTTAACAGTGCGTTGATCGAAAAAAAATGTTTGAGGGCCGGAGACCTTCGTCATTGGGAATGACAGTGTAAAGAGATGTTATTTCCATGGTGAAAATAAGTTTGTTTTGGTCGAGGAAACTAAAGTCACGAAAAATTTCAAGTGCGTGTTGGCTGTCCTTAATGTAAGACGGTAGAGTTTTGACGATAGGTGCCATAACTTTGTCTAAATAGCTGGAAATAAGTTCAGTGGGACAACTGCAGGCAGAAACGATGGGTCGACCTGGGTTGTTAGGTTTGTGGATTTTAGGTAAAAAGTAAATACACGAAGTTCTAGGAGTAGTAATGATGAGATTTTTAGCAGTGGCCGGCAATTCTTGTTTAGCTATAAGATCGTTAATCTTATTTTTGACAATGTTTTGGTTAATTAAAGTGAGATCTTTGTCGACTTTAGCATAAAAGGAGGTGTCAGAAAGTTGCCGCAAAGCTTCTTTTTGATAGAGATCGGCCCGCCAAACAACAACTGCACCGCCTTTGTCGGCCGCCTTAATGACAATGTCTTTGCGTTTTTTAAACTTTTTTAGTGCCGACCACTCTTCCGAAGAAAGATTGGAAAATTTGGTGTTACGATTGAATTTAAGTTTGTTGATATCGTGGCGACATTTTTGAGGAAAAAATCTAAAGATGAAAACTGGCCCTCTGGGGAGTCCATTTAGACTTTCGAATCTGGAGTGTTTCGAAAGTATCTTTGTTCGAGGTGTTAGAATCATCCTCTTTGTCATGAAAAAAGGCTTTCAACTGAACGCGGCGAAGGAATTTTTCAACGTCTTGCTTAACTGAAAATTCGTCGGTTTTTGTGATATGGGAACAAAATTTAAGCCCTTGCTGAGAACTGATTTTTCTGAATCGGAAAGTAGTAAATTTTCTGGAATGGTAACTACAGTTTTGAGGTTTTCAGGCGATGAGTCGTTAGTAACTTGAGGGCCGATAAGTTGGTCGAGTTTTTGGGCCTTAATTTGGTGCAAACGTTTAAAAAGTTTAGAATTGGCATCCTGAATTTTGGCACGAATGGATTGTACTAAAACAGCTGGACAGATTTTGGAAAGTTCAGAGCGGCAATGTAGAATTTGTTCGGTGAGTTTGTTACGTTTTTGGCACATAGCTCTGATTGTGATTCTCATAATATTACGTGAAAAAGAATTTTGGGCGCACTGAATTTGGTGACGATATTGATTCGAATGAGAAAAAGAAAATGTGTGAAAATTGGAGCGAAAACCCTTAGGAATAACTTTGGAATGAAGGCAACGGCCGATGAAATGGATGTGACTACAAAACCTAGTTTTTACGAGTTTTACGAGTCGTGTATTGTGTAACAATAACCCCTGATCGAAGATGTCGGATCCATAAGTTAGCCTTAGAACCAGTTTGTACGTTATTGCATGACGTTAGGACACCAAAGTAGACAAAACTCATGGAATTTGTTCAAGGTAACGTGGTTATATCTTGTCATGCACAATTGGAGGAAAGCTTATTAGCAAATATGCTGAGGTGCTCGAGAAAGTACTGTACGTGTTCGTATCAGACACCGAGGCATATTCCTTTCAACAGAGCGAAACCTGGCTTAATTAATTCATTGTTCAGTGCAAATGAAGGCAACTAATCTTTCTTCCTTTTCCGGTTGACCTCTTTCATACAGGCCGTTCTCCACAACATATGCAGTGAGTCAATTTTCCTCCACAAGGAAAGGGAATCACTGCGGTTCAAATGCTAGGAGTAGGATCAGTTAAACATTTTTGCAATTATCTATTGACTCCTTCCGAACATATCAGGCATTCCAAAGGTGGCGTTCTACAAAAAGAAAAAAAACCCGTGGCTCTACGTTGCTAAGGTGACAAAACTTGGGTGTTCAATGAGCATCATAGGACTTGACATTTATGACTTATTTTTATCGACAATATCCGTTGTGAATAAGGTTTGAAAGGAACGAATCGATCAAATCAATAGAGAACTAACAATAAGAAATGAATACAAATGCTTAAATAGCTAGAGTTATACTATTTTCCGTCAAAAATATAGTTATGATTCTTCAAATTTGATGCTGATGATTGGTACCAAGTTATGGCGGACTCGACGACAATGAAACACATTCTCCCTTGGAATCTAGTTTCGGCATCCTTATTTGTTTTTACTTTATTTCTATGTTTTTTTTTTCTTCAATTAATCAGTATTCGGTGGGGGCACTGCTTCCGTCAAGAGAATTTTAAAAACAATGAATGAGTTACCAGGAATCGGATCCTTGTGTTTGTGCAAAGTTTTCTGGGATATTCCGATAAATCTCGACCTCAGTCGAAGAGGTTCTCGCGAAGGCCACAAACCATTACACTTTGTAAATGAACCCAAAATGTCTGGTTAATATCATTCTTTGTGTACAGCCCCCATGACATCATTTGCGAGAAAAAAATTCAGAAACGCTGTGATTGGTGCGAGATATCTAAATTCTGCGAAATGATTGGTGCGAGATAAATATCCTTATGCGGCAATCTGATCGGTACAAGATACATACCCTAATGTAGCAATCTGATTGGTACGAGATACATACCCTAACGCGGCAATCTGATCAGTGCAAGCAACATACCACTCTACACGCTAACAAAGTTATCATATTTTTTTATAAAAAAAAAACAACTCAAAAATGGCAAAAGCTACGTCGTAAAAAGTTCTAACATATGCGTTGTACGATATGTCTAACATATCCTTTGAAGGGGAATGTACATTGAAGGAAAAAAAGACAAGGAGTAAGTATTGTCCATTGTGTTAGGTACGCAGAGCGTACAAAGATGGGGCATTTTGTAATCATATACATTTGATGCAAATTTAATACATGTACCTTTTCTATTGATTTCCTACCCTGTCCCCGGCCGGTAAATTGACTGGTGTATAGACTCTGTTCCAACCAAGTCCTCCTTTTGGCACAGTTTTGGCATTGACAAGAGCTGTTTATTAACCCCTCTGCATTTTGAGATACATCACTTGTTTACTAAAATACTCTACAGCTATAAAACAGTAGGTAAATGCAGTCATAGACTACCTTCTATTTTGTATTGTTCAAGACTCCAAAGCTCAATTATCTCCTACTTTGTTTATATGTTATATTATCATGACCTTAACATTTCAGGCAGTCTCCATAATGTTCTTTACACATTACCTATGGTGCTTGCAAGTCTAATGAGAACCTTCTATGTGCACGATCATTTCCTTTATTTGCATGACCTTTACATCTCAATCAGAGGTGATACAATCGGGAAAAATTAGATGTTAGTCACTCTTGGGTGAAGTTTGTATTTAAGAAGGATTGGGAACAAGGCTAATTTCGGTAATCCCTCACCTCCACCATAATCTTTGGATGTTGATTGTTGATCATTTGTGTCAAGTTTCTGATGACTGAGTTCAGTGGAATACAACATCTCCTGGGATAAGCACACACATTCTACTAAGCACCCTCCCCCATTTAAGCACCCAACCTGTACCCCTAGGCTACAATAGGTATTTCAAAGCAAACACCCCTCTTGAATAAGTGCCCCCCCCCTCACTTTCTCAAATGGTAGGGATGCAAGGAAATCTTGTTCTATTGCCACTTTATTATAACTTTTAAGGCTTCAACTACAGCAGAATCAGCACAGGAGAAAAAGCACCCTCCTTTTAGCCAAAAGTGCCTAGGTGCTTAGTAAAGGAATTACCATATGCAGGTTCTCATAGAAGCTTTCTGTATTTTGGTGGTGGTATCAACCACTGCTTTTAGTTTAACAGGGTGAACCACCACAGACTATTTATTGGTGTACAATTAGGTGCTTTAATGACCAGGTGAGTTTGCATTTAAGGTGGCTCTGCAATAGATCTACTCTATCAGACTTTTTATTTGCTCTTTAACAAACGGTATAAAGCAACGCCTATTTTTTTCAAAAAAATGTTTTAATTAGCATCAAGTTACCATAACAATATTACAGCCTTTTAAAAACACCCTCTATTTTAGCTTTCTGTGCCAGTGTTACTTTGTACTTTCGTGAATGGTTGTTAAATATTCACAACATAATTACAGAATTTCCTGAAATAAATGAAATAGATGGGTATTTGTCAAAAATGTATTTTCAGTCAGGAAAATCACAGAAACCAAGAGCAACTTTGCCTTGTGGTAAGGAAATTTTTTATAATGAGGCTAAACTGGAATGTATACCAGTGGATTTGTCCTACAACATGCTTCCTGTAGAGGCTAACAACAAGTTATTAGTACCTCTCTCGCCCTTATGATGGCTCTTTACAACTTCTAAACACTATCATCTTTCAAGTTTGTGTGACATATTCAGCTCTCCAGTTGGATGAGGTGACAACATTTACTCCAATATGGCATCTGCACTTGTGTTGAAGAAGAATGAAGACTGTACAAGAACTAAAGGTACTCTGATGTTTTGTATTGATATCACAT